ACTCAGTAGATTATGAGCTTTGTAATGATACCTTACAAGAGACCTTTTGCATGAAGCATATCCCAGTTACGTTATATTCACTTATTATCATCATCATGTTTTTATAAAACCATATAGACTGCACATCACCACAAAGGGTATGTCTATACTAGCTGCTGGATCGGCAGGTAGTGTTCGATGTATCGTGGATCGATTTATCGCGTCTCGTCTAGACGCAATAAATCCATCTCCAAATCAACGCCTGTACTCCACCTCGGCAGGAGGAGTACGCGGAGTCGATAGGGGAGCTGCGGCGGTCAACTCGCCACCGTGAGGAGACAGGTAAGTCTAACTAAGATACGCAACTTCAGCTACGCTATTTGCATAGCTGAAGTTGAAGTATCTTAGTGCGAACCCCCCCGCTAGTGTAGCCCAGGGAGTTAGCCAGCTGAGGGAGACAGCAAGTTAGGGTTGGGTGTTGCCTTTGTTTCCTTAACTTGCAGGTACTCTACAAGGAAGAACCTACCACAGGAGGAAAACGGCACGTTGCCACCACCACTAGCTCTCCCTGCACATCTGGAGCCCCGCACAAGCCAGGCATGTGACACTGGAGACTTCTGTCCAGACTCTGGTCTTGACTTGCTGGGAATAGGACCTGCATATATCCCTACTGACAAAAAACAGGCAGGGGGAACCACCACATGTGAGAGGGGCCTACTGGTGGAGTCCCATAGGGAAGCAGGAAAGAGCTGCAGGAGGAGACAGCTCATCTCCATAAGATCCAGGAGCACAAGGACTTCATCAGCAGCACACACTTAGAGACATCAGGGATGGAGGATGCTAACCAACTATAAATGAACACCACAGTAGAGGAGGAAGGAGAACTAGCTACTCTGCAATGAGACTGGCTGCTGCCCACCTGGGGTTCTCAAACTTCATTACACCACAACCCCCTTCTGACCAAAAAAATTTTTTTTAATTACTACACGACCCTGAGGCAGGGGGGAAATGAAGCCTGAGCCCATCCAAGCCCCACCACCCTGGACAGGGAAGGCCAAAGCACAAGCCCCAGTGCAGGGAGGGAAAGGGTGCAAAGCCCAAGGGCTTCAGCACCAAGTGGGGGGCCTGTAACATGAGCCCCACCACCCAGGGTGGAAGCCCTCAAGCTTCAGCGCCAGGCACTGGGGCTCAGGCTTCGGCTCCGGCCCCCATGGGGCCACAACCCACACTTCAAGAACCACTGCTGAAGACCATGCTGTACCTTCCCCCCCTCCTCCCAGGTCCCCCCGTACATTGAAGTGAAGAAGCTGCCTATGCTTTCAGCAAAGCAAAGCAAGGCTTCAAAAAATGGCTTCAGCTATCCCCACCACGAAGGTAAGCAAACCCAAACGTGTTGAGACAATTTTCTGTAATGTCATTCAATGCTTGACAAACCGACACATAGCTGCTTCATTATGGTAACGTCAGTGCTTTCATCAATGACCAGTGAATAGTCTGTGTCACCTATATCCTTCAATATGCTGGAGAACATGCAAGGTGCTATGTCATTGTTTAACAATGCTGTATACTTTGAACAATGCAACTTCATATCATTGTTAAATGCTGAGCTCATGATGTCCCCCAAATCATCCATGGCTCTTAAGGCTGATTGGCACGCTGTAAAGCAATCCACTTTTCATTCCTTCTGATGCAGTGAAGTGGGAGCAGACCTGCTGGGACACACTAATTCCTAAATTAGTCAAGCACATTGAGGAAAACGTAGCAGCATTTTTCTTGTGCTTTTCCAATCTTCATATGCTTCACAATATCTGCATGGCAGGCACAAAGTGTATGTTTGCAGAATTTGCAGCCAGCCAGTCTAGCATCCCAGAAGACAGCTATAATCCATGGTTTCTGGTACTTTTCTTCCTGCCATTGCTTGCAGTTCCTTTTTCCATACTTGACCTATTAGCTTGAGAAGGGTATAAATTTGGAACCAGAAGCTATTCCTTTAGCTAATGTAGGGGAACAAACAGAACATGTAAAGCTTGGACAGAAAACACACCTCTTCATTAGTCCATTCTTTGCTATGACAAATGCAAATGCCAAGAAACTCCACAGAGTGCAACCCTAGGGCGAATGTAACAAGCAGGAGAGGGGGATCAAGTTTTCACGGCATAGCAACGCTGACTCCTAAACTAAAGGGAAACTATCTGCCTACGTGCACAGGTGCTGGAACTAGGGGTACTGCCGCACGCCCTGGCTTGAAGTGGTTTCCATACAGGGTTTATAGTGTGGCTCAATAGCTTGCAGCACCCCTACTATGCAAACTGTTCCAACACCCTGCCTCT